GAAAAAAGGTTCAAGTAAGATGAAGAAATTTCAAGAAAAAGAACATCCCAGATTCCCCAACATGGTACTCCTTTCATCTTCTCTGAAATTGGGAGCAGATTATCAAGGCATAAAAAAGGTGGGTAGAGAGCTTAGACCCCTATCAACCTCCCTCTTTCCCAGTCATGAGCCTATCAGAGGAGCTGCTGGCTCAAAGTGCACTAGGGAAGTTGAAGTGAGGAGATAATGAGGAAGAGGGCGTTCTCCAGAACGGAAACTCAGGGGAGAAGACTCACATTCCACGTATTTTTGCAGCTGAGCAAAATCATTGGGGCTTATTACGCCCCTCTCCTTGGACATCTTTTTACGATTCCTATGAAAGCTCCAAGGGGAGATTTGATGGTTCCTGGACTTGTACTTCAGAGGGTAGGTCTGGTAAAAGATAACAAGAGTCTGTGGCAGGAGTCAGTTGCCTGAACCTCTTTGCTCTGTCTGCTCCATTCATTCTTCCCTCCCACTATTATTTCTTTTCTTGTCTGAGTCCTTTCCTCAGTGTCTTCTTTTCCCTGTGTTCCTCTCTTTAGTGTCTATTTCCCCCTCTACCCAATCTGTTTCTCTGACTCATGTCTGAATATGCCCCTATTTCCAGATCCTTGTATTCTATTCCCTGATTTCCATTAGAAAGAATGTATTTTATTCATCTCAGACCACCCTCACCTCCCACATCCCCCTCCACTTTTCTATTCTGTATGTGTCTCTGTAAGTCTAGGGGCAGTTTCTGAGTTTCTCCCCCAACCCTCAATCCCTGCAGTTTCTCTGGGGCCTGAGCTCTCCCATCCTAGGGTCCCCTCAGGCCTGGCCCACTCGGCAGTTTTTACAGTGATGGTGACAAGCCTCCCGGGCCACGCCCCCATCTTGCCCCGCCTCGAGCCTCAGCCCTCCGCCCTGCTCTGCCACGCACCCCTGCAACGACCTCTAGAGCTTTAGACGCGAGTCAATGACCTATCTCTGGTTAGGTCCCCAGACCTGGCCCCTCCGTGTCTACATCCAAGGAAGGACCTTGAGAGGTGGGGGATGATGTAGGGCGGGGTCCAGGAGGGTGGGAGGCTCGGATGTGAGTAGGGGAAGACTTTGAGCACAGAAGGCCCTGAAAGGTGGAGTGGCCAAAGTCTCCTTTTTTGTCAGCCAGGTTAGCAAAGCAGTGTTTAGGTAGCCTCAACTTTCTCTCAGTCCCAGGAACAAAGGGTCTTCACATTGACTAAGACACACAGGGTGACTTGCCTTGAAAATTCAATAATAGCAATAACAATAATCCTAAATCTTAGTATGGTGCAGCTTGGTTTGGGTGTCAAACTGCACTGGGGTAAGTCATATCTGGGTTCCATTCTGAGCTCAACTTTGTGGCCTTGAGTTACATCATAAAATGAAGAGAACACTATTACATTTTTCTAGTGGTGAAATAAAACTGCCATTGAGCTGTTAACTCCCAGTAACCCTGTAGACAGAGAAGAACTGTCTGTGGGCTTTTCAATAGAGCTTTACTTTTTTTGGAGATGAGCTACTGGATTCCAACCTTTGACCCTCTGGTTAACAGCTGAATTCTTCAACCATTGCACCACAAGGGCTTCTTCAGTGTGAAGATTACTCACACTTACTCACTGCTACCTGGTCACTTTCAACACATGTTGAACTCTCATAGGATTTCCCAGACTGGTGAATTTGAACAACCAGAGACACACAGCCTTTGGGTTAGCAATACAACTCACTACAGGCTTTGCCAGCAGAGTTCCACAGGTATTTACTAAAGAGTAAATAAAATATGAAAAATGCCTAGTATAGAAACCAAACCAAGTTCATTGCTGTTGAGTTGATTCAGGTTTCTAGGGAGCTCTGGCGGCCTAGTGGTTAAGGAGTTTCACTACCAACTCAAAGACAGGCAGTTCAAATTCACCAACTTCTTTCCCAAGAGAAAGATGGGCAATCTCCTCCCATGAGAGTTACAGCCTCTGAAAATCCACTTGAGGGTCAACTATGAGTCAGTTCCAACTCCACGTCAATGGCTTCTCTTGAAAGTGAGGTAGCATAAATGATTTTTCTCTAGGCTGCCAACCAAGTTGAGGGTTTGAACCCACCTGGCAGCACCATAGAAGGAAGAAAAATCCTAGGGATCTGCTTCTGTTAAGATTTTTTTTCTTTTTTTCTTTTTAAGCTAAAGAAGCTTTATTAAGGTGGCTCCTGTGCAGGATTCCCTGGTCTGGAGAAAGAGAGAGACAGATCAGAGGAAAATTGCCTAAGATTTTTGTTAATTATTGTGAGTGGATTTCGACTCATAGTGATGATTATAGTCAAGAAAACCTTATGGAGAGTTCTACTTCTAGCACCTCGGGTCACCCTGAGTTGGAATGGATCGGAAAACAACTAAGAGAACAACTAAAAAAATATTAGAACAACTTTAAAAAATACAATAAATAGTAGTTATTTAGTTATTGTATTAACAAAATCAAAGTTTGTGTTGTTGTTGTTGTTGTTATGTGCCGTCGAGTTGTCTGCGACTCATAGCAACCCTATGTGCAACAGCCCTAAACCCTGCTCTATCCTGTGCCAATCTCATTGCCTCTGACACACCCATCC